TTACAGGTCCGACAGCCTTCGTAAACTCGTAGATTGGACCGATCTAGACGAGACGAATTCTTGAGTTACTAATTAAACAAGCCCCTATACCTGGCCATTTTCAGTAATTAACGACTCGACATTTTGACGCGGTTGTTTGCAAAATGATAGAGTACTTTTCACTCGTTCCCATTGATTTAGGTATGTGACATGTTGTGCCCTTTCTCCTTTCAATCAAACATATTCGTATATTTGGGTCATTTATGATCCGTTCACATCCCGCTACTCTAGTTTTCCTCGCGAGGGGTTAATGAGGGATTTACGACGACGGGGAACTGTAATGAGCGACGCGACGTTCTAACGCGCTAATCGTGCTCGCGGCGCAGCCGACCGCGATTGCATCACACATAGAGGAGGACCCCGACCAAGATAGTCGTCTATTTCCACCATCTGTTTTATTCGGCATCATCCAGCTCGCTGCACCGCGTCGGCCGAGTCAAAGTCCTCCGACCGAATCGATCCGCGCGCTTCGTTTCTACCTGTCGAATCCGTCGCTTTGAGTGCATTTGCGCTTACAGTTGCATCGACCGCAATGAGCGTTAGAATCGAGTCGCCGTTTGTTGTCCGTCGTATTCTACATCGGCCGAAGAAGAGAGAACACCGGCCGGCCGGTTGTTTGCACGACGGCCGAAAGGAACACGCCGATCGGGATAAATTAGGTAGGATTAAAGGGACCGCGCGATCGAATAATCAAGCGATTCCCGACCTCCATGCCGTGCGTCGAGTAATTTTCCATCTTTGCTTCTCCTCGTCCTCCGCTCCGTGGGATTTAATTCACACCGACAGGTGGATCAGCGCTCGGAATTATTATTTGCACTCTCGAGGCGATTTTCGAAGGCCACCTTTCTTCCTCTTACCTCTTTTCTTTCGAGTCATACGGCTGACGGTTGTTGCCCTCAGCCACGTAAACTTCATAATATCTGCAGGACGTTCTCTAAATTTCCGAAAACCTTTTCTTCAAACTAGCCCTCCGTTATTTTTCTACGCTGTCGTAATTGCACCGTTAAAATTACAACATTAGAACCGTAGTTCCGACAAAAACTTTTCAGCAATTAAGGCGTGCCTCCTCTCGCCCTTCGGTTTCTCGCTCTCCTCGTCCGTTTCAATTGCGCGATCGGAAAGTGTTCGGTTGCGCGTGACGTTGCGCAACACGCACGGGAGCCGGCGATATTACTCCTTTGGAAATAGTGGTTCCTAACAATCCGACGAATATCCACTCGCCGAGCGCAATCAGCCGTAATCACTCGGCCGTGTACACGGCGCGCGTACTTCCCGTACAAGCGACGGTGGCGGCGAGAATTCACGCTCGAAGTCTACGAGAAGATTCCAACGTCGCTCTTTGTGAAGGGGTTTTTCTCCCCATTTCGATGATGACTACTTTGTAATCAGCCACCGTGGCTTTTTGCCTTCGTCTCTTTCTTTCCCCCGGCGCGCTTCCCTCAGACCGACTGCTCGAAGAGCGGGGGGACCGCCTCCTCTTTTTGCCAAGTGACATTTCGAAAGAACGCGAGCGTGCATTCAAAGCGACGAGCGCGCCTACGCTCGCGGAGGTATCCTTCCGCGAGAGGCGCATAATGCGCTTTATTGTCCGCGACGTTACCTCTGTGTACGGCTCTTTCCCGTGTAAGAACAATCGCGGAATAAAAACCGCCGCCACTGCTGTCGCTACTCCCGATGCCGAGGACGCGACCGAAGAGAAGGCGGACTCGCTCGCGCCGATAGACCGAAAAAATTCATTAAGGTACCACCTCGTTTGTCAAATTAAACCACTCGTGCGAGTATTCTTTACCCGTGGCCGGTTCGCAAAAAAGAAATCGATCGAGATCTCGTCGTGCGCGACCACGAACGACGCTTCCCCTCTCGATCGCCGCCGTCTCATAATTCTTCGCCGTCGTAAGAACGGGGCTTTGATTAAAGGCGGCGCTGAATTGATCTCACGTAACGACGCGCGAGAGCTTTCGCATCGTGACTGACTTTGATGAGACAATTTGCATAATAGCGACGGCTCTTGACTCGGGAAAAAGTGTCAACCTCCAATCTCGTCGCATGGAGAATCCTCCCTCGAGTGACCTCTCTCTCTCGAGAGAGAGAAAGATCGAACAGTCGTCGACGTCGTCGTCGATGGAACGGGAGAGATCCACCGCGGGTTATCTTCGTTTCGGTGAATTTGTCGCGAGAGAACGGCAAGAACGAGGAGTCGTCGTCGCCGACCGCACAATTAGCGTTAATCCTCGTTAATCCGCGTCTCTTCAATCTGCATTCCTTTGTCCTTCCACCCTGCGACTCGACTACGTGAGTACCGCGGGAGTAGACGTCGTGTGTAACGGGGGATGCGGCGGGGGTTAAGAATCAATGCCTCCGTGGCGGATGAGGAGAGAGTGGCGGCGGCGACGATGATGATGATGCGCGCCGGAATGAGGAAAGGTCGAAGGTAAGCTACGACGTAGTTTATCCCGCGAGTCTGCCTGTTAATACTTCAGTTTCGTGTATTTACGACGCCGATCAATATCCTATTTCTATCCCGTTCTCAGTGCCGGAAGCGACCCAGATCCGTAAACTAGGCAACTGTTTAAGGCCTCGTGTGGAGAATATGTGACAAGTCTCCTTCTCGTCTCTCCACCTTTCCCTCTCTCCGCGCTGGGGTCACGACAAACATAAGGAATATAACGAAGCACTTTGCGGCAGCATCTGTCGTTGATGCTCCGAGAAGCCGTTTCCGCTAATTACACGTCGCCTCGTACCACGGTTTGCCGCGTCAATAAGAAACACATGCGCACGCGATGTAACACAATTCGTTATCACCGTCACGACGGTGATTCATTCCGCTCGCAGTCGTAGAAGACCGGTGAAAAATCGCGAAACTACATCGGACAGACTCCGATACCCGGCTTTGTGGAAGCCGTCGGAGCGGAAAAATACGCGTATCGCCGTAACAAGACGCTACGGTTTTGCCCAATCGAGCGATCCTATTGGCACCCGACTAGCGAGCAGAGAGCGATGATCGATCTCTATTTACGGTCGGTGCGAATGCGCGAAAGAGAGGAAGGCGTCGAGCAAGGCGGCGAACACGAGAGTCGGAGATGTACGCGCGAGATTAGAGACGGGCGCGGTGTAATGATTTATCAGGCTCGCGGCCGGTGTTCGCAATCGCAGTTACATCAGTGGATTTATGGAAGCTTGCCGGCGGTGGTCTTATTTTCGTAACGGCGCGTCGTCGTTCGTCGTACCGGACGTATCGACACACAATGCACGTCGTAAAATCGCGAAGGAGAACAAAACGCGCGCGAAAACGGGCGTCGTCCTCAGCCTGCTCACATTGTTACCATAATCTGGCCGGGCCGGGCCCATTGTTTGTCATTCAATTTTTCCGCTGGATTTTCATCGCGGACAATGGTGTAGCGCGCGGCGCTTTATAAGTCGCGCGAATTACACGGGCGAACGCAGCTCGTAAATATAGCCGGTGAAACGTGAAAAAAACGCCGCGCGCTCTTCGCGACGTGCGCTCTTCGGCGCGCTTCGACTTCGTCCCTCCCGTGCTTCTGTTTCGCCGCGATGAGACTCTTCTCGCCTAATTCAAGTAAAACTTGTATCTGTCGCCGGAAATTGAATGACTAGGGGAAAAACAAGTAATTTCGGCGCGACGACTTCCCGGGAAAGTAGCTAAATTGATGCAACTGGGACCAAAGTGGAACGTGATTTATTATTGTTATTATTTTTTCAACACGCTCGGGGAGGCGACCTCCGTCATCCTCCCTTCTCTCTCTCTCTCCCCATTTCTTTCTCTCGTGTGTTTTTCCCGGCCGCTCTTTCCGCACGAATCATCTTTATCGAGGTCGCCGATAAAAAGCGAAGAGTCCACCCTCGGTGAGTGAGAAAGAGACAGCGAAAGAGAGTTGAACTCGCCGGTGACCGGCGAGTAACGGCCACGGAGTAGCACCTGCGAGAGGAGAGTACACGGAGTCCGCTGTTCCCGCTCGTAAATCAGCGGAATTTCGCGGCCGTTCCGGGACAATTTTATGATTTAATCCAGTGGATGCGTGAAGGCTGCGGTTGCGAACGGGGTGCAAACGCGGTCCTCGCTCGCTCGCCCATCCGTCCGGCTGCCTACCCGGGTTATACCGGGTGCACTCCTCGGGATGAATTTACCTCGTATTTTGCCGACCGCGATAGTGAAAAAGCTCTGTGGCCAACTGCGAGGGCTCGTGAGGCGTCACGCTGGCCGATCGTCCGAATTGTCGCGTCGGACGACGCGCTTCGTCGCGTTTTGCGGCTCCGGTGGCCGCCGATAGCTCGGCTGTATCGCGATAAGGCAGTGGATAAAAGGCCGATTAGGATCTACATTGGAAATTTAATTAACTCGGGACAAGCGACCGCACTCCTCTGTAAATTACATTTTATTATATCGGAAATCGATTTTTTCCACGCGCAAACCGCTCTCTCTCTCTCTCTCTTTCCCTCCTCTCGTTGCAACAATCATTTAATACGCCGCCGGAAACGGCCGTTTGCAGCCGGCGTGATATTACGGAGAGGAGGGGGGATAAATAAATACGCAATGGGCCGACTTAGCTTCGCGAGAGGTCTCCGTGGGGAATGCATCCTTCATTGTGGCGGGACCACGCCATTAGGACGCGTTATCCGGTTCTTGTCGTCGAGTTCATCAAGCTCAACCCGCGCGGTTCGTCCATTGCCGGCGCACAAAACGCGGGTCGGGTAATCGCGATCACCTTGGCCGGAGATTACGATACAACATCAGAAGAGAGAGAGAGAAGGAGAGGACGCGGCGTCACGAAGAGGATCGTCCGGGGACTTGCGTGACGGACGAGCCGCGGAGCAAAAGGTTTCTCGCATTCGTAAATCGAATTAAGCTCTCAGCCGGCACGCTATTCTCGATCCGAAATGTCGTGGACGTATAAAAAGGCGCGATAACGGCGCGGCCGGACGAGTGAGTTGCGGAACGTGCGGCCACCCCTTCGCGTCTCACTTCGATCTAGGAAACGGTCTCGCGCGACTATTACGTACCTTCGACGAGCGGAACTCGTCGTCTGTCCGACGGATAGTCGTTCGGCAAGGGAGGAAAATCGACGTATCCGTTGTACGTTCATCCGAGACTGCGGTCGTCGCGAACTTCGTGCGCCGCCTGCTTTAGGCTGCATCGAGCGGCGTTATCGAGAGCGCACGTCACCTCGATTCTACTCGATTCGTCGAAGGATGTTGCTGCACAACGGTAGTATCGTGCTCGGGCCGTTGCCTTTCGCCAGTAGAGTCGGGTAGGTAACGCCGTCGTATGTTTCCCGCAGCACTCACCTCATAATCACCCGACATTGTGTCGGTGTCTGAAGCGCCGGCTCGGTCGCGCGGCTGGATGCATACACGAGGGCTTCCTACGAACGAGAGGCACGGAAAGTTCCCCGGCACACGCACGCTCGCTCGCGGATGCGTTTTATCCGGGGATAAGGTCGCGGAAGCCCGGGCTCAAGAGGTTCTCTCTCTCTCTCTCTCTCTCTCTCCTTCTCGCGGTCAGGGAATAGACAGGCTATCAAATCACGCGTGCGTTATAGCGTTGCGCCGCTGCCTCGAGCTCTCGACTGGCCAGGAGGGCGGGAGAGCGAGCGAAAGAGGCCGGGGGAAGACTAATAATCACTCGACATCCCAATTAGTACGCAGGCGGATTTAAACCACATTGCACGCGTACCGATCCCGCGGCTTTCGTCGTCATTAATGTTGAGCGCAAAAGCGCATCATTTTACGCGCGATGGATGAATAAGGGGTCTTTTTTTCTCGGATACAGAACCTCCACTGCCGCCGGCAACGGCGGTACAACAATAACAACGAAGATAACAATACTGTGGGCGGTAATAATGTGTGTAATGTCGGTAGCACGAATGAGATCCCGTGATTTATGTTATTCGCTTGATGTTGTATAAGCTCTCTCGCTTTGCCCGATAATGCGCTGTGTATTGTTCCGAGTCCGTCCCAGAACCTGCCTGACAACATGTCGAAAGCTCTCGTGACGTTTACGCTCTTTTGGCCGGCGATCTTATCATAGAAACGTACAAATTCGCCGCGTAAATGGATCCGCGCGGGGTTTGTGACGCGGCCGATCGATGCGGGTGAATTTACGAGTCTTCTTATTCGGGAAAATCTCGCAATTCTTATCGTCGACGCGGAAGCTATTTGTCCTACAGCCTGCTTTACATTTGCGATGTCGTGACGGGGTAATAATGTCGGTCACGAAGGAAGCGACAGAAATTACTCTCATAGACCTTATGGAAATTCCTGGCCGCGTTTAATCTCTTCGGATCCAGCAAACTCTCTCTCTCTCTCTCTCTCTCCCTCCCCCCCTCCCCCCTTCCTCTTTCTCCTCTCTGCGGTTAAACCGAAAAAAATTGCGCTTTTGTTTCGTTCGCCGGTCATTTGAAAGTAATCGAGCAGTCGTACTCTTCGTTTCGAAATAGTCCACAGATTGCAAGTGGACGTGTCGCTTCTGCCGTACTTTAATTATCAATGACAGGGATTCTCGCTCGGTCGAATTCAAATTGGATCCTCTCTGATGGAAAATATTGTGAGAATCTGCCCGAGTACTCGGGATTCATCGTTTCGATAATTAAAGCCTGAATGAAAATTTACCGCGAGCAGGATCCAGTAAATTTTGACGGATAATACGATTCAAAGTATCTAATCACGCCCGCGAGATCTTATTCCCTCTGCGCGAACGAAGACGGTTCATTTCGATAATCAGCCGATGAAATATCGATCAGACCGTTGTGTATATTTCCGAACGACAGAGACGTGCAACCGCTGCAAGAGCGATTTCTGGGATGGAATTTTCCCGCGGAGCACGCCGACCTCGTGCATCCGCATTGGCGCGCCTTCCTCGCGCCCGGAAGACTATGGCACATCGCCCTTGCGCTTATTTACTTCTTGCTCCTGATGCTCTCCCTCGTCGGGAATGGCATCGTCATTTGGATTTTCAGCACGTAAGTCCGCCGTCGCTTAGGAGAACGCGACACAAAATAGCGCGAGGATGCGTTTAAATATCGTGGATTAAAAAGAATTCGAGCGCTGGTAATTCAAGAAAAAAAAAACAAAAAGAAAGAAGAGATCGCGCTGTCTAATTGAAAAGTTTGTTCAGCCGGTGCAAACGTGTCTCTGACGCGTGCTTGTATGAAAATTTATCCAACACGTTTCTGCGTATATAATTCCATTAACTGTTTCCACAAGATAGAATATTGCTTCCCAATCTGTCGATTCTCTCAGATTTCAAAACGTAAAACGTTACCTTTAATCTCGTCCTATCGATTTCGCAAGCGCCCATAAAGCCATCGCTGCCGCCATCTCTGTACTCAAGGCGGAATCGTGTCGACGCGGTTGGCGACATTCTAATCAATATACCGTGGGAAATGTAATCAAATATTTTTTTAGTCGACAATATAAAAAATAACTCTTTCGAAACTCCTTCGATAATTCGATTCTCGTGGATTCGCGGGACGCTCGTTTGAATGCGCTTGTTTGTAGGTCGAAGTCGCTGAGGACACCGTCGAACATATTCATCTTGAACTTGGCCGTATTCGACCTACTGATGGCAACGGAGATGCCTATGCTGATCATAAACAGTTTCCTGGAGCGCACGATTGGTTGGGAGACCGGATGCGACGTGTACGCGTTGCTCGGCGCGGTTTCCGGAATGGGGCAGGCGATCACCAACGCGGCGATCGCTTTCGATCGATACAGGTCGGCACGATCAAGCTTGAATAATTTCGACGTTATTACTCGACGTGGCGAGTCGCGTTAAAGCTCAACGGCTCGTTCTCGGCGAACGACTATGTCGATGACGTCGATAACGGAGGGAAATTAGAGGAAAAATTAGGGTCGGAAAATTCGAGGCGGAAACGTAGGATCTAATCAACGTCTCGCGAATCGCGACTTCCGATTAGACGATTGGCCTGGATTCTGCATTGTTACTTTAACTCCGAAAGGGTGAAATCGATCAGCCCAACCCTCGCCACTCAAACAGTCAGACTGTACATCGTGTTTGGTATTACAGAACGATTAGCTGTCCTATTGACGGTAGACTCAACGGGAAGCAGGCTATGGTGATAACTTTGTCCACGTGGTTTTGGGCATTGCCCTTCTCGATACTGCCTATGACCGGATTATGGGGTCGATATGTGGCAGGTAAGCAGATACCTTCCGAACTCCCCACCTTTGCGGAAAAGTTTCCTGCATTCTGCATCTGCATATTTAAATTCGAAAGAATCGATTTGTCGTACCTCGCTTTACTCGCGCCCGAAAATCACTCAGCCGATTGGTCGGTGTCTTCGGAAATCATTTCATCGTCCTTTCTCCCCGTGAGCGAAGAAGTGAAACATTCTTCCGGGAAAAATTGGCCAATCGATCGTGCAATTTGCAGAGGGTTTCCTCACCACGTGCAGTTTCGATTACCTCACAGACGACGAGGACACGCGGACGTTCGTGATAACGATATTCTTCTGGGCGTACGTACTCCCCATGTTGCTGATCGTTTACTTTTACTCCCAATTGTTTAAGTCTATTCGCAGTCACGAGAAAATGCTGCGCGACCAAGTAAGCGGAACTTTTACGATTATGCGGTGTCGCGACGGGAGATTCGATTTTCACGGCATGCGTGTTTCATGCATAGGCCAAGAAGATGAACGTGAAGTCGCTCGTGTCGAACCAGGACAAAGAGAGGAGCGTCGAGATGAGGATCGCGAAAGCCGCCTTCACGATCTTCTTCCTCTTTGTCCTCGCGTGGACGCCGTATGCGGTCGTCGCCTTAACGGGAGCCTACGGAAATCGGTAACCCACTTGATGGACCCCATCCTGAGACACTCCCCGAAACAAATCCGAAATACCGTCCATCTTTACGCCGATACATATTGGATATGTTGCAGCGAGGCGCTCACTCCTCTGTCGACAATGTTGCCTGCCATTTTCGCCAAGACGGTCTCGTGTATCGATCCGTGGATATACGCGATCAACCATCCTAGGTAACATGTTGGGAAATAATTACAACAGAGCTATTCCCGTTGCACTTTGAGCTAAAATTATTTATATAGCCGTTGACCTCACTAATCGAGATGGACTTTGAGATAGACGCTCGCAGCTTCTCGGAGAAGCTTCTAGGATAGACGAGAGTAATTACACGGAGAAAAATCATTTTGCTGCTGTTGCTACCGCACGTTCGTTACGGCCGCGATAAAATTTAGCTGGTATAAGCAAATAGTAACTAACAGATTTTACCGCAACAAATTATTTCTCTCTGTGTAAAGCTAATAGCTTACCTGTTTTAATAAAGTCCCTTTTTCCCGCGGCCGCTTTTAATTTCGGTAATTCGGCGGTCCAGGTATCGACAAGAGTTGGAGAAGCGCTGTAAGTGGTTGGGAATTCGGGAACCAGTGGCCCAGGACGCCGTATCGGCGCAGACCGAGAAAGTTAACGTGGAGGAATCGTAATCTCTCATCGATGACGAACGTCAGCTCGATGCCGGGGTTGTCGAGAGGATGCCGATCGATCGCGTAACATTGTCACCACGAATGCAATTCCGATCGATCGCCCGGATATATATCTTTCTCGTTTTTCTTCCCTTCCCTTTTTCTTGAAATGCATCACACTCATGTACGCAACTGATCGAGAACCCTGTCCGGTTGCGTAGAGGGTCGTTAATAAAAGAAGGTTGGTCGCTATTTAACTCTCACATACGTCGAGTTATATAAATATAATCACAGAGCATGCATGACAATGGTTTTTGGGTTTTCATCCACATCGACTCCTCCTAACACACCCTTAAAGATAGTCCGTGACAATATTGTTAGAAAGATAATGGTTGATACAATACAGAGAAGTTCGATTTTTCGCGCTTTAACCTATAATATTTTTGGCTGAGACGATTAATATGAGCGATTAATATGCTGCTAAGATTTGGAACGATCCTGAGAAAATTAATTTACGGGCCAACTTAACGGTAAATTCAGCTTTGATACGATTCGAATTTCCTCTCGATTATTCGCCGATGCATCGTGCTTTCCGGAGTTTGAAAGAGATGGCGGCTTACGAAAGCTCGTTCTGTGCTGCCATCCCGGTTGGTCCAACTTTTATTGATCCCGGTTTGAAAATCTCAAAGCAAGACATGATTACTTGGTTGTATCGTGTTTGCTAGCTCATACAATGATACCAAATATTCATACAAACAAGAACAATAATCACACGCGCGCGATCTTTGTCAAAGTTAAGGTGAGTAGCTTCTAGGAAAGTGAATTGTACTTTATCGTGGATTTTTGTTACTTTTCACAAGCAATTTTATTCCTTTTTTGCATATACAAGTTATCCTAAAATTAATACGCGATATTTCAACAGCGCACTTTCGGAGCTTCATTAGACTTGGAAATTTTGGCACGAAAACGTCAAAGCCACGGATAGTGTCGGAATTACAAATGGCGAAAATTCCTCGGTAATATCGTGTGGGATTCGCGCGATTACTTTTTTTCGTGGAAAATCAATGCGCGACTGTCGGCCACACACTCGCTACGTTATACGACACGCCGCAGGTGTTGAAATTTGAAACACGCGACTTCTATTATCTCTTTCTTTATATCTCTTAATTGGAGTAGGTCCCGAAGTAACTTTGGGCTAAAACATTTCGGAGAAAAAGATCTCCTCGGATTCGATTCGATTTCGATGGAGAGTTCGCGAATAGGACATTAGCCACCATAGCTCCTCCGACGACGTTTCGAAGACCGAGTCAAGGGTCACGAATCAGTCGTTTGAGGTAGTGTAGATTTTCTATCCGTCTGCGGCGAGAGGCGACTTATCTACTGGGCGAATAGAGTGGATAGAGATCTCTTTCTGTCCTCCGAGAGTGGAGAAACATTGTCTTATCTCGGAACGAGGTCACGTGCCACCCGAAGCGCGGAAGAAGCCCCGGATAGAAAAGAAAGTCGGCGAGGCGAGGACGAGAAGTAGTAGGGAGAACGAGGGGAAAAAAGCGAGCAGGGCGAAGACAGCTCCGGAGAATACCACGGCACGTTCACGTTTATGTGTTATCTTTTAGTCTGCGGAAAAATATTGTCCTACAAATCAACTCCAGCTGAGAAATTGCTCGCCCGTGAGGGGACCATAAGTTCTGGTAGTCATTGATCGTCCAACTTTCGCTCCCTTCCCCCCCGGCCACGAGTGGTAATCGAATTACTTTCTTAATGATACACTCGATGGTCGATAGGTAAAACCGTAGCTCCGCACATTACCTTCGCTCGTGCACGGTAATACGAGCTCCGCGTTGTTAACCCCAACGAAAGTTTTTTTATCACATCCACCGAGTGTAAAGATTCGCGAGTAATGCGCGCCTTCTTTTATACGCTAATATCACTGCCGAGATGTATCGTTTTTTCCCTTCTTCTTTTTTTTACGAGAGAGCCTTTGGACGCGCTTGTTACGGGAAATTGAGAGGATCTCCTTACTCTCTCGTTATCTCGATCCCCTTAACTCGTCCCGCAGGTCCTCCGTTGCGAAAATGATACTTTGTATGAAATCCGCGGGAAATCTCGATGCTCGTCGTGCGTCGCGTGGAACATGTCCTCGGAATATATCTTGTTGAAAATACATTGTGCTTATATTTGCCATCTCGCGTAGTCTTGGACGGATTTCACCGTATCTCCGAATTCAGGTCGGCGATATTGATTAGTATTTTTCGATGTTTTTTGCCGAAATTATTCGACATCGACACGTGATACGGGAGGAACCGCTCGAGAACATTGGAAAACGTCTCTCACCTTCGATCGTCCTTCGCGATGTCACTGGAAATTTTCAGCGATATCACACACCGTCGATATTAGCACGTCAAGCTTAATTATACGTAACATTGTGGAAATAGTTGCCGACGGAGTCGGTCGTTTAAAACTCGAAGAATAGCGAAATGCTGTCGGGCGAGCGCGGCCGATTTCTCCGGCTCAGCGCGGCGTATTTTTTCTCGCGATTGTCCGCGGAGACGATCGCGCGGGTGGAGGAACAAAGGTAATGAATAACGCGCGACAGCGCGCTAACTTACTGTCTAACTTTCTTGCGAGCAAGAAACATTGCTCCATGAATACGTATATACATATATTTCTATGCGGGGCGACTCGGTCTCGTGAAATATGTACCAGCCACCGGAGCGCGTGGAGAACTTTGAAATCTGACGGACAGAACCGGAAAGAATCGCAATCGTGGCTGCTTCGCCGCCAGGAACATCGCGCCGAAGTAATATTTTTATTCGGCAAAGAGCCACCGTACTGCGTTCCCGGGACTTCGACCGCGGGCGAAGCTTCTACGGAAGATTAAGGCGGCGCTGTGCATCCAACAACTTTCCCTCCGGCCGCTCTTAGCCTGATGTATCTCGACCTGCGACTTGCGACGGAATAATTAGTGCGATTCCGGCGTATCGGATAGCGCGAAAAAGCGCTAATTGGATACAAGACGATTTCGGTTAAGCCCGGTCAATCGGCTCTCCGTCGATAATTGTTTCCATCTCCTGCTATCCTAATCCATCAGGGAAGACAAGGTGATTACGTGCCGGACGCGTTTATGCCGGTAGAGAAAGTTTAGTCCGATCAGTGAAGCGGCGCTGGTGAACTCTGAGAGAGAGAGAGAGAGAGAGAGCGGGTCATTGGACAGTAGGCGGACTTCACAGACAGCCCGGGCAGTTCGGTTAATATGCAGTTAGTACGTCATTTGTTTCTCGCCGCCGGGAAGGGCTTATCATAATCTCTGACGTGACGGCACCCCCCCGGATCTCCGGCTGTTATCGCGGCAGCCGAGCGGCGCGCACAGTGTCCGGTCGATTTCTCGAGGATCATGCAGGCTCGAGAACTCGCGAGCAACTCGTCGGCGGCCGCTCCAGCGCGTTACGACGGGAATAAATCCGGCGTCGCTGGATATTACAAAACGCTGAAAATGGCGACGCGCATCGGGACGAATTTATTCGCGCCTGGAGGGCGCGAGTTCGCCGTAGGGAGAAGCTTTACAGCATCGAGGTAACGCGGTTAAGAGGGAAGTTCCGCCCGACTCGAACAAACGCCGCGCGACTTTCGTTCTCCTCCTCGTTCTTCCCTCACCGGCCGGTGCTGGCTTTTTTACGGAAAACTTGCGCCCTCTCTCTCTCTTTCTCTCTCATCGTTGCCGCGACCGACGCAGTCTACCGGGAAATATATATGCGGGCCATTGAATGACAGGATTTCCAATCAGTGGAAATCCCATCGTGCTCAGGGCGGCTCTCGGCGGCAACCCAGCGTCGAGCGTCGCCACCCCACGATATTCCGGGCATTCCTTTTTCGTCTCCCCCGGTGCTTTCGACTTACGTACAATCAAAGTTTTCCGCGCCGAGTCTGTGCGACGACGACAACGGCGCGAAGGCAGAAGTCGACGAATGAACGAACGAAGGCGGGGAGGGATGAGAGCTGGGAAAAAGATGGATCCAGGTGGAGAGTGAGAAAGCTGGGAGATTGAGAGAGAGAGAGCACGGGGGCTATAGAGAGGGTTCGGCAGGACGAAGAGACTCAAGAGTCGAGAAAATCCTTGATTAGATGTTCGCGTCAAAGGAGCTCTTCGCGCGCCGAGAGTCGAAGAAAGGAGAAGAAAAGAGCGAGGTAGAGAGAGGCGCGTTGCGTCACTTCGCGGCCCAGTCGGGAAGGCGAATTAAAAATAGTCTCTGACTATGAACGCCGCGGGATCGATTGCCATTCTATCTATCGGATCGGTGAGAACGAGGGAGAGAGGGAGGGAGGCGGACAAACAGACCGTGTGAGAGGGGAGGGAAGGGGAGGAGGAGTCGAAAAGGGCCGCGCCTTTCGAAAGCGGAATGGAATGATCTAACTCCCGTTCAAGATACGTCCCGTTCCGTCCTATTTCCTGAGGTCGCGCCGAGCGACGGCCAGTTATGGATGTTGAAAATTCAATTACGCGGGATTTATGGCTGCCGGCGCTGGGCATATTTATTATCGCACTATCCCCTTCTGTAACTTCCGTTATCCTCCGCGCGCACCCGTGCGCTCGTCGCCGACGCTCCGCACCAGCCCGACCGATGACGTCCGTTTCCCATGACGCTGATGATTAAATAGAAATTCATCCGCGACGTCGGATAATCGACGCTCGATTCTCGCTGCACGCAGCGAGGAAGAAGGAAGGAAAGAAGGATAGAAAGGGAGAGAGAGAGAGAGAGAGAATCATCGCCTCTCGTGTCGACGGTATCGATCTCGACGACGTTCCGCACTGTCGAAGGAAAGAAGGATAGCGCGTATCCGACGATGATCGGTGGGTGAGAATTTGCGAGCTCTCGATTGTTACGGACGGAAACGTGGAGACAGAGGGCGAAAATCGAGCTCCGCTCGCGCCGTTCGTCCGGCCGCGCACTGATCGTAACGTTTCGCTCGTGTTCATAGCAATCGCGCGATTACCGGAATAATATTCGCGTCGATACGTTACCGCATACGAAATGAACGGACGCCGGCCAGCGCAGTTGACAGCGCGAAGGACGAATGTGTGAACCGGCGGCATTATTAAATATACAATATGCGCCACCTAATGACGTGACAATATCCATATTATTATTAATTTATATACATAATTAATAGGTGCCGCATTTCGACTTCGATCGCGACATAAACCGCTCATTCATCCGGCCACCCGCCGCGGTTTCATACGGTCGGCGCTTTTAAGCAAAAACGAGATATATTCCTCCGCCGGATACAAACGGAAT